GGTTTGCAGTTACCCCCCGGATGCCCAGTTAAAAAAAAAAAAAAATTGTTAACCCCATTATAATTATTATTGTTATCATTATAAGCTTTAAAATTTTTATTTTTTTATTTTCGTCATTCTGGTTATTATAATAATGATTACTATTTTTGTCATTATAGTTTTTATTGTTGTAAATATTAGTATCATCATTATTATTTTTGCTATTTTTATTATTACTCCCATTTCTGTTTCAGTTTATAAGATTTATAAGTTAGATATCACATACTTATAAGTATTTAACATTCAGTAATATTGGTCCTGTTGAATCTTATACTAGAACGAAAGTCTTTCTAGTGTTCATAAAAACTCTTCTATCCATAAGACACACGGGTTTAGGTGCACATGTTTACACTGTTTACACTTACTAAGTGGTAGTAACAAGTACGTATGGACGCACTCCTTATACATGCACACTTTTATAATTGTATCCATGACTCTGTTCACAACAATAACATATATACATACGTGTGTGTTTATGGGGGCCCTGCACACATTCGCACACTATGACATGGCAGTAAAAATTCACATAATATTACATGCTGACTCTTTATGTGTGAAGAGGAATCTAAAGTCAAATGATAAGACTTGAGCTCCAGTGAGTTGCAGAACATAAACTGATGTACTTACGTCCATTTATTTCTACTGTCTTGGTTCTCAACCAAGGCGTGCATAAGGAAGTTCTCACTTTTAAAAATATGATGGAGGCAAAAGGGTATCTGACAGGGCCATTTTAAGTGTTATCTTTATTTTTTTTTGTCTCGTTTATCGATAACACCTAGCACACTTCTCACTTTGAACCATCACTACACTTTTTACCTGAAAAATCTGTATTTTGGTATAGTAACCTTTTGGAAGAAGATAGGTAAGACTTTTGCTGGTTCTCAAAGACATCAGAGGTATAAAGTTGGTTGATCTAGTATTAAGATAGCAGGGATAAGATTTAGACTTTATTACACATTACTCTTTAAGTAGTATGTTAAAACAAACTTTAGTAGGTTTTGTCACTAGCGGTTGTAGATGGATACGTGCTGCTTTCATTACAAGTCAAACCATGAGTGGTTATAAGCAGCGTTTCCTACCAAAGGTGTGTGCTGCTAAGAGAGTGGCTCAAGCTTAGTTGCGCGCATTCGCTATGACCACGCTACCACAGACAGCACTTTCAGTTGATGCTTCTGGAATAAAACTCTATTTTTTATTGGTCAGTGCACGTCACTCCACATAAACAAATACATATCTTAATTATTATTGATTTTCGTTATTTTTTGATATCAGTCTTTCAAAATACATTATACATTTTTTTGCTTACACTTTCTAGCCATATTTTGGAACTGTCTTTTTCACTAGAAACATTAAACTATACCGTATGTGTTTCAACACTTACTCAAATACCTATTTTTATGTAGTAAACGGTTCTTCTAGTAAAATGATAATCTGAATTGAAAGTAGCTTCACCATAGAGTTGGGAGGAGGAAGCTTGACCCTATCAACTAAAGATTTGTAATACCTTACGCTAAGGACCACCACTAAAAGTGGTTGGATTAACTCTACTCTTACAGTGAGGCGACTATTGTAACATTAAATGTGTACTGGTGTGCCAACACATAGGTGCTGTTTCAGCTGATCAAACAAAATTACGTCCATGACAATATTAAGAGATACAGAGTGCGGTTGCCAAACCTCTTGTGAGTATTTTAATAAAATTATCTTGGTCTGCGTATTTGCTTCTTTAATTTCCACCACACAATATCTGGATAAAATAATTATCATGTAAAAAGGGAAGAAGGGAGTTCTTTGCATTAATATCTTCCTCTATCTCTTTTTATACGTACATCGCGAAGCATCAACTTTGGTGCTTGATGCAGATTAAAAAAGAACATTGGAGACCAGTGCCATGTGGAAAAACCAGTTTACCTGAATATGAACTACCAGTGTTCTTACAATTTAAAAGCTTTCCTCTTCTTTTGAGGGCCAGTTACAATCCCAATGGTGCAACAGTTGCATTTCCAGTATAATGTGCTACTAACCTTAACAATTCTAAGATGGTTTAAATACATACTTTTTGGGCAAAAGTAACTGCAAAGTCCCTATAATATTTACACATATTGTTAATATTACAGCACAATATTCGTTTAATGTGATGCAAAACCTCCTGTTCAGTACACAAGAAAATTGAGAAATCTAATTTTAAGATGCACAGTTGTCTAAAGCCATGGTTTCTTTTGCAAACACATCATCAACTTGTACTGTTAAGAACTAACTTTTATAATCATTCTGAATTAAATGTTTTTAAATGCTTCATCGTACAACTAAGATTGCTGCTCAATTTGTCAAGAACAAGAAAAATTGACAATCGTAAGAAATTAAAATTGACTTATAAGTGTAAGAAAATCGATAATAATTTAGTAAAAGTCCATGACAATGACCTTAGAAATAAAACTGTTAACTATTAAGTAGATACTGTTCCTTGAAGAAAGCAAATTTAAATTAAATTAAATTCTTGAAACACATAAAATAAGAAATACTTGGGTATAACTTAAAAATTAATGAGTTCATTTTTAAGAACCATTATTATGCTTTTGCTTTGCATTATCTAAAACGTTTCGAATTTATACGACACAGTGAACTGCAAGTGTCAATACCAGTTTTATTAGTAATTGTGATATAGTTGTATTGATTCCGTTAAACACAACAATTTACTAATTATACGTAGAAAAACTATTATCCTTATTTCTGGGATATTTGATATTACAGTGTATTTAACGAAAGCAATACTTCTTTCCACCGCAAAATTTTGTCATGTGATATGGCTTTTTATTTACATAAATAAACGTACATCAACAAGATGGCACCTACATATACCCACAGAAGATTTTGTGTAAATATAATTCTTTGAAGCTTATCTTATTAGGTTAGAAATAAATTTCATAATAAAAGATTCTCTTAAATACTTATAAGTAATAAACAATAATTGTTATAGTAACCAACATTAAGAAATCTATAAAACCGATATAGGAACTAAATATAACATAGAAACCATGTATTTTAGTAGTAATAGTTAGAGTCAGAAAAGCAAGATTTGTTGGATAAAATTTTCATATGATTTTCTTAGGATTGAACTGTAGGATTTATGCATGTTCATATTTCTACCCTAACTTACATTCACTTACATGATTTCTATCCTTATCTTAATACAGCTTTGAAAACATATTTTTCATTAAGAATTAAATGATAGAATTTTAAGGTATCATTGGACGTAAAAATAAAAAAAATTAAAACATACCCAAAAAAAGCTTTTTTTCTTTGTGTTCATAAAAATACTTTTTGATAATACATTTTTTTATCAATCTTATTATAATAATAAACTAACAAAGCTTTTTTAACAATTTATTTATCTAGTTTTCTTTTTTTTTCTTGGTTTACTATTTTTTCTTATTTACAGTTAACTTTTAGTAACGCAACGCAAATGATAGAAAAATAAAGTTTAAAAAAAAAAAGTTCTTTCAAAACTCCAAAAATTGCAGTGTTATAAAATTAAAGGGATTGATTTTTTATACTATACATTAATAAACGTTTTGAAACAATCTATCTTATATCAGTATGACTCGGAAGATTTATGAAAAAACACTTTCTGTATACATCAATAAAAATACACACTCATGCAAATTTATGTTCATACATTATGTAGCAAGAAAGGACTCTGGAATTTCTGATTATTAGTGCTTATATCAATTACTAATATATAATTAAGCTATTTGGTTCAAAATTAAAATTTCAAGATGATGACAACAGTTTTGTACGTACTATGATTGTCAAAATTAGACAATTACCCCGAAATTATCTATCAATATTTTCAATTGCATGCTCTTTTCAATATAAAATCAACCTTAATATTTTTGTAATGTTTTAACTCTATTGAAGTTAAAGTTTGCGAATTTTAACAGCCAAAATTATTGCTTTTATTTGTATAGTTTTTTAAAACATTTCGATTTTTCATTTAGGACATTTTTTCTCCAAGGATTCTTGGATTTACAGGTTTCAACGTAAAAAAATATAATATTTTGTCAATGTACAAATACTTCTGAGCATCTTACCTAAGGCTGTTAGCAGATACCACTAAATTCTGGGTCAGTTATGGCAGTGCTGTACTTATTGTGGCTTGTTTAAGATTACATATATTAAACGTAAAAATTTTTTGTATCGCCCTACATGATATCAGTCTTATTATATTTGATCTTTTGGGGCAAGAATTAATACAAACAATATGTCGTATGACGTTTTGGCAACTGGTGTGTTGCCCTTATTAGGCTTCATTGAAAACGAATAAACAAACAATTAGTTAAAACAAGATTTTTTGCAGTGCACATAGTTAATTCTACGATATAACTTAATTATAAGCAACTTTTATCGTTAGTTACAAACAACTTTAATTTATAGCTGTTTGTAATTAAGTTATATTGTGGAGTTTACTACGTACACTGCAAAAAATTTTGTTCTAACTAATAAATTATTTATTTATTTTTAGTAAAGCCTGATGAAAGAAGCACATCAGACATATTGTGTGTATTAATTCTTGTCCCAAAAAATCAAATACAATAAGATTAAAAGTATTAAAATTTACTGTCCTTTATAGCATAAATATCATAAAACATATACTTTCTTATTAATCTGCTTTAGTTTAACTCCATACTATCATACTTTTAGTAATATTACGCAATTTTAAACAGTAAATTATTTATTATTATCAGAATGATAAGTAAGAATATAGGACCGTTGGATTTCATCTCCACAGCTTTTGTCGTAAAACAATTTAATTATAACTTTTTGGTTTGAAATAATACTTAACTTTTCTGAAGAAAGATAAATTAACTTTTCCTACATTAATGTGTTTTGAGCACGATGTAACTATTTTTCTTCTTTCTTAACACTTTTCAGATCCCAACATCCTTGAAACAGGGGAACAGGCAGAAAAAGTACTTCATCCCAATACGGACAAAGAGTGCTGCTTCAACATTTGTTTTGAAGAGGATTTGGGATTTCACATCTGTGCTAACTGCACAAATCGTTCTCTAAAAAAAGACCTCAAACATCAGGATACCCCAACAGCTCCTAAGTGTGATGTGGCCTTACCCTTTCTCGGTATCCAACAAAAATTTTTTTTTTTGATAAAGTTTGAAAAACTTTTGAGATATGTTTTGTAGTAACTGCTAAACTAAGACCTTCATATAAAATTCATAAGTAATTAAATTTTCTATTTAATTAAAACATTTGTGACTAGACTAACGATTTATAGTTTTTCAAAGTATCTCAAAATAATTTCTAATATTTCTCACATAATTACATGAAATAATTTATTGTATATCTTATAGGTCATCAGCTGGATACAACAAGTATATCATCGATAAGTCGTTGTTCCAAAAAAGTCAGTGCAGTGGCTAGCAAGTCATATTTTTCCGGAGCCTCTCAACCAACAAACTTACTCGATGAGCTAACGACATCAATCAGCACCAGCACTAGTGCAACATTATCATCATTCTCTATGATGATATCTTCATCAAGTTCGTTAGCAGTCAGCATTTTTTCATCACCAGTACCACTGCTTTGTCTTTTTTGGCTCTGCAACACTCTTTTTTCGAGTCAGTACTCAGTAAGCTGCTTTCTTGAGCTCACAGATCAAGCTAAACTCTGTCTCCGAATAATAAGCATCTCCTACACCCACATCCTTTTGTCTCTTCGTATGATGCTACTTTCTCAGTTTGATTATCAGGGATACCCAGCTTACCAAAACTGGCGGCTTCTATGGCAAAGTGCTCGGTACTTCGTAATACTTATGTATATCTTCTACGGTGCTGGAATCGATGGAAGTGTGGTCTTAATAATTAAAAATAGTAATAGTCTTATCATTAGGGTGCATCGACTCTGCCACCATCAACAACGTGACTGCCATTACCACCGATACCACTGGTGGATCTATCCTTGTCGCTGGAAGTGTAAGCACTCCCTTCAGCGAACAAAATCTAACAGAGAACACAGGAAAGATTTCTATTGTTTGTACTGGTAGTTTTAGAAATTTTCGTGGTCAGACACTTGGAAGATCTGGAGATGCAAGATCCAAAAGCCACTGGAATCTACATTTACAAAAGACTAGCAGCAGAGGCCCCAATAGTCATGAAAAAAATACCGGCGTAAAATACTCTTTCAACTCTTGGGCTGCCATAAGCTAGGTCTTATCCAATGCATCTTCTGGTACAAGAAAACCTTGTCACATCATTGACCATTTATTAGCAATATTTTCTGTATTTTTATCTTTACCTGAAAAAAATTCTTGCTTTCTTGTTCGCTTCTTTAACGTATAAACTATTAAATTGTTAAAGGTCTCCGTATAACTCTTGAAAAAAGGCAACAAACGTTAATAAAACAAATAGTAATGCTAACAATATTTAAATATTTTGCAATAATAAGTAATTATTGGTTAACAATTGCTTACGTCAGTCGCAGAGAGTTATTTTTTAAGAAATAAACAGTTTCAAAAGTAGCACTGTTGAGCGAATAACAAAACTGTTAATGACATGGCAATGCTTAAAAAAACTAAGGTGTGATGAAGAATGTAGGTGTATGTCATAAGAGCATTATGTATTATACATCTTAAAAATGCTGTGTATATCCAACATAGAAATCATATACATTGAGTAGTGGGATCACCTGAAATGTCCCATTAATGGAAACAGAAAATTTAAAAAATAGCACTATTAAGAGAATAATGAAACCGTTAATGACATGGCAATGCCTAAAAAAATTGATGAGTAAGGAAAAAAGTGAGTGAATATTATAAGCACATAATGGGTTATGCATCTAAAAAATGCTGTGTACATCTAATATAAAAATTATAAACATAGAGTAGAGAGGTAAGCTAACTAGTCCCATTAATTAAAACTGAAAAAAGGTCCCAGGGCCTGTCTATCATGCCCTTAGATAGAGATAAAACGTAGCCGGAGACAGTCAAAGATTAGAATAATCGTAACCTCAACACCTTGGATTTACGTCCCTATAGACCTGTTGTGCCAGATCCTTTCACCCAATAATATTGTAACACGAGATCCTCTAAGCACGGAACATGTTAAAAGAAGTTATTTGCAATAACAAAATGGTTTATATGAAAGAAAACTATAAAATATGTTTAACTGTCTTTATTTATTTAATTAAAAGCTTTAGTTATGCAGGATTAAAAGGTTAAAATAGCCAGCTCAAGTAGAAAAACTTCTACCGTGATATAAAGGGTATTGGTATGGAACAGGTATTCTTCAAAATCAATCTTTGTAAAAAAATTTGTTTATTTGATTATGTTGTAAGAACCACGTTATGTATTTAACATTTCATCATAAAACATTTTGCAGGGTAATTAAAAACCAAAGAATAACGCTTAGAAGTCGAATAACTGTATGGTATTTTATTCTTGTATCCAAACTATAGATTTTCGAAAAGCATGATGCTTAAGCTTTGAATTCTCATGTTTTTAAAGTGACACTGCTAGACTGTCTGTAATCTTTATATGTTATAATACTTGTAACTTAGAATATTATTCAAGTGTTTTTAAAAACTTTTTAGTGTAATTTTCAAATAAATTGTAACAATATTGTGTTTTGCATCGAAAGTCTCTTTAGATCTTATAGTGTGGTCTAAGTTCTTAAAGTCTTTACCGTAAGCCCTCCTTACATTTAAATGTGTCGTAAATATTAAGGAAATTTTGCTTTTCAATTTTTTTAATGACCAAAATTTGCGAGTAATTGCCTACGTCTAGGCAGTGGAAAAGATAATGATCTTATCAGGCCCTGATTAACCTATCATTCATGTCACCATTCTCATTCTTCTTACACTTAGATAATAAGTTTTTGTCATGAGCCTTTTTTTTATCTTTACTTGGCATGCATATTCACTTACTTCTGTAACTCTGCAGCAGACTGATAGTGCCGTATATGAATAATTTAATCTATTTGTCAACTGACAAAGAACATAGAGCATAACAAAAAAGCTTAACTCATATTATTATAAGTTGTAAAAAAGATTAACTAATGTTATCAGGTTAAATAGAAAAGAAGTATACATTTTTTTAATAGTTTTTAAAAGCCTTTTAAAAGTGTAGATAAATGATATCTAAAGTAGTGCATTATAGTGGTATCGTACTATAATTAGAATCTACGAGGGTATTTTAATTAGTAACGTCATAATTATATGAAAAGTGTTTTTGTGCATTTTACACTTATTTTGTTGCAACAGCTTTACAAAGAAACATACTACGTAATAACAATATGTTAATGCTGTTATAGTAAAATATCTTGTGTGGCAACATTGCTACACAAATAAATAATAAAAATAAGATTTTGTTGTATGTTACTTTGAACAACAAAGTTCTGTTACTAGATACGCATATCTGATATCAATCATCTTATTTATATTTCTCATGCTGTGCATGTCAAAAAAGTAGCTGTTTGCTTATACGGCAGACGACTAATCCTTAAAGTAGTCTATGACCCACCACTTTTTAATTTTGGTTTCATTAAAAAAAAGGTATGTTATGATTAAATCTTTTTCTTTTGGAAAAAATAATAAAAAAATACACCTACCACATTGGTTTTTGAGATAATAAAGTTGCAAGTTTAAAATTTTACTTTTCGAATACAAGAAAAAAATGCTACTTCAGTGACTAAGAAAACTAGTTTCTGGAAAAAAAAGATATGAGCCTTTCTTATTCCTATTACAAAGTCATCTCACGAAAAACTATAAGTTCATTGTAGAGAGGAGTGGGAGGGGCTCTTAGAGTTAGTAATTCATATTAACCCTACGATAAAGTATCCTTATAACAATTTTTGTTTCTAAATTACAGTGCTAGACGTCCAGCTTCTTATAAGAGCACTACTTGTAGGCACCGCAAGGCTTCTCCCCAAGGAACACTGTGAGGTAAAAAGGCACATGTGAAAATTTACAGAGGTTCTTGTCCAAAAAAGTCGCATTAGCTGGGAATCAAAACACGGTATGCCCCCGTGCCAACCTATTATCTGGCCAACTGAAGCCACAACGTGCTGACTAATAGAACATTCTAAGTTTTTGTGAGGGGGAGGGTGTAGGGGAGGGCTGTGAGGTAGAAAAGTTACCGTATATAAACCCTTCTAAGACATTTTTTTAATAAAACAGGATAATTGTACTGTATTTTTTTTTATTCTGTGGGGGTAGTGGTTGTACTGAAACAAATTGAAGAGAAAAAGTTTTAATTTTCCGTGTACTTTAAACATTTTATGTTAATGTCGAAATCCAAACAACGTTTTTATTCAATTAGAGTCAACAAATAATTTGATAACGAAAAATGGAGTAAGAAAAGAAGATTTGGTTTGGTTAACTTTTTGAGTTAAAAGAATTTTTGCGTGTAATTCACCTACTTTTGCAATAAGCAAAAAAGTATTGCTCTGTATTTAAGAACTGTAGTTATTAATAGAAAAGTTTGAAGATATCTAAATAATATGTTAATCGTTAAAAACATAATGAAACTTGATGTATTGGTTTAAATTTATAAAGTTATTAGTTACATAAAAAATTCAAAGGTTATAGTCATTACTAATTAATACGTTTAATCACATGACTTTAATGTAAGTCATGTGATTGAACGAATTAATTAGTAATGACGATAACCTTTGAATTTCTTATGTAACTAATAACTTTAGTTATTAAGTTAGAATAGTTGTGGAATATCACAAATGGTGCGTAGTCTGGTAAAACTCCACTAGCATATACAAGTTATATAGTTGTTAGAGAGGTACTTAACTAACAACCCTCCCCTGTAGAGTAAGGGAATATACGGTCACTATTTTTGTCATTCATAAATAATAAGACCATATGTAGAGCTCACTCAGCCTTCTATAGCCTCATGCTGCCGACCAGCACAATTTGCAAGCCACTGCTTCAACCATTTTTGTCACACCTACCATGTGCTGTAGTGAAGACACATGATGTCTTTCGCTATAGCAGCTCAAAAAACTGCTTTTTATCAAGTTAAAAGGTAATGAAAAAGCATAACTTGTACTAAGAGTGATTTTTAATTCAAAGTCTTAATTTTTCATAAAGCTGCTGCACAAACTATCAGCTACACTTAAATTGGTTGGTTATATTACTATTATTTTGTATTTTGAATTTTGCTTATGAGGGGGCAAACCTTTACGAATGTTGCTTACTAGTCTTATCAGAAAATTAAGTAAATGTTATCATCTGAGCTTAAGACATCCTTGTATGTGGCATCATTTATGCCGATTGTTTGAAAAATCAAAATCATCATAAGGTTTTTATTAAATTTATATTAAAGTCAACAGAATGAGTTTAACATTTGTATAATAAACACATTTTTTATTAAAAGGTAGATGTATTAGGTTTCTAAAATGCATGTATATCAATTACTTCAACATGTAGCGTATGTTTGTTAGGAAAACAAAAAGTTTTGACACAAAATTGTAAAACAAAAATAATATAGGATATCAAAAAGATTCACTTTGGCCAGAGTTTTACTTTGTTACCTGAAATGTTAGCTACTGTGGGATATGTGTAGGAAGCGTGCAGAGGTTGAAGCCCCACTAGTAAATATATAAGGAGCTGTCATTATTTCTTTATCGTATAAGAGCTCTTATTTTTCATAAATCTTTCATCTATATTCGTACTTATCCTTGTTAACATTCCTGCATTATAAGTGAAACAAAATAAATACTTTTGATGGTAAACTAATCCATTCTGCCTCATTTGAAGCTTATCACATTTTCTTCTTACTTATTAACACACTACTTTCTTTCCACAGAATATCACATAAAATTGCCTAGTACAATCTCATTTTCTTCGTACAATTAAAATGCTTGTGAACTTTTTTCCCGAAGTTTTAAAATAAAATTTACGGCTTATTCCAACATCTCTTGTATTATATGTCATTAAAGTTGAATTATCATTCAATAAGATCTAGATTACAAGTACATTTTGCAATAAAGTTGAACTCAAGTAGAGTCTCATTTACTTAAGACCTTAAAACATCTGGAAAAATTGAAAATAACGTAAAAATACTCTCACGTAATAAATGTTTTTTAAATAGATATAGTGCTATTTAGTACTATATTTGTGACATAGCACTATAATATTATTAGTTAAGTATGTAGAATTATGACTTTACATATATCTATTTGCATGGATTTTTTTACACATCCTACGTTTCTTATCTCTCCTATCCTTGTTTTTTTTCTTCCTAGATTTCCACTGTTTTTCCAAATATGCGGATCTTTCACGTGGTCCCATTGCAAAGTTTTCCTTAGACTACTTGATCAACTTTATTTCTTCATTTTGTAACCGGTTACTAGATGAGGAAGCCCCTAAAAATTTAGAAATCACCAGGAATTTTCCTTATCCTTTTAAAAAATCAGATACCTGATTTCTCAGCATCTTGGGTACTTATGTCATCGAAACAACCTGAGATAAGGAATTTTGGTATATCTTGACATGATTCAAAGCTAGTTATTGACTAGCAAGCTAGCACGCAAACTACTAAGCCATTGAACCTCTTAACTTTCACATTAATATTAGTTTACAATGAATTGTGTAAAATGTTGTTTTTTATTCATTTTCAGGTAAGAACTGTTAGAAACAAAGGGTGCTTTACATTTATTAGAAGTTAAAAAAAATATTACGCTATCCAAAAGTATTCCATTGCTAATTTTGTCACAAAAATATTAGATATAACAATACTCTGTGCCGAAGTTGACATTAATAGATTATCCGATGATCAATATTTTGAGGTACCTACAAATATTTAACCATTATCTTAAATATTACCATATCTTAAGAGTATAAGATTCTTGGTAAGTTCTTATTCGCAAAAACTTGTCAAGTAATATAATTTTAAATTTATATGGAAGATCACTTTCGTATTTAAGTGTAACACCATATAATTTTTTTTAATATTTGCGGTATTTGAATTTTGTTATAATCTTCGTTAAGTAAGATAAACAATCTCATAGGTGTAATAGGGCAGAAAAAGTACGATAAACTTATCCGACATGCTAACGTTAAGTAATATCACTGCAATAATTTGTCTAATGCAAACTTGTGAAAAAAAAAAATTCATCAAATTCGATCTTACACTCTTTCTGACTATTCTTTACTGATTAACGGAAATCTGGCAAAGTTTTGTTGATCTGACGTCTAATTTTTCGATTTTTTTTTATAATTTCTTAATTATATTACTAACTTTTAGGTTGATTTATCATTTGAAAGTATAATCTTAGTAATTATATCGTTCTTTACGAAAAATCAGTTTAAATTTTATTAGTCTTTTCTTTCGTTGATTCTTAGTCAGAAGTTAAAATGAGCTTCCAGTCTGTCAAACTTTTCAGTTTACAAGTTTGGGTAGAGCTTAGTACTTATACTTAAAACTATTTGATCACTCTGGTGTTGTCTGCTTAAAGTAAACGTACGTATATAGACATGAAAAAAAGGGCATAGTTTAATATAAAATACTCGTTTGTACGTAGACGTACATTGCTAATGGGTTATCAAATTTTTACTTGGCTAAACATTATTCATACGTACTGTTGTAGTCACAACGTTGAACTCTGTGGCCTTCCATATCTGTAAAAAAAGAACAGTTTTAAATGTGTAACGTCAAATTTTGCATTTTTTACATAAGAAGAAGGTGTGGATC